TGACTGCAATGGTCCCCAACACACCCAATATCGGCAACTCACCGATAAGCTACCGTATCGGACAGGAATGATCAAGCGATGGTGATCTGAATTTGCTATCAGGATAGGAATGGCAACAGCTTTTGGAAACTTGTCTCACTCAAGGCAGTTTCTGGTAACACGCGACCCTTACCGTCATTGCTATGTGACAACAGCTGCCATCTCGTACCGGAAATAGACAAAACTTCGAAAATGGATCGAAAACACGGCGACCACCTGCTCAACCGGGATCCTCTTCATCGCAGATGTATTGTGCCATCAACCGTTACACAGCAATACGGAATCGGCCTAGACCAAAACAACACAGGAAATTGTTGCCACCATCAACGCGATAAAAGAGAATGTACCGCCACGAGGACGGTATGCCACCTGAATACTTTAAAGTCTGTTTACCACTTCCACTGGTCTCATTAACTGTACTATTTCGCTACAGGCGGGATATCAAAACTTTCCAAAACAATAGACAACATCGATTCCAACCCTTGTCACACGAAATCATCCGTAACACATTCCATGGTAACTTATTCACAATGGACATCTTGATGATTGGAGTGTCATCAAGAAACCTGGAGATAATGATTGAAGCAACGCATACGGATCAAAGTCACCCATTCAGCAACAAAAGATGTTGCGCTAGGGAGAATCCGAACACATTGCACCACCGACATCCTCAAGAGGAAAGGTATGATTATAGTTGTTATTATTTGAGTTGTACCTATTATTCAGTTACAATTATTTTTTCCACCGCCCACAGTATACTAAAATCAAGGGTTTGAACTCTTTCCTTTTACCCTTGATTCAAGGCGCCCACCAATCGACCGCTTGTTTAAGGAGAATTCTTTAAAAGCCAAAGGAGAGAAAAATGGGGAAAGACAAGAGCAATGTTGGCTACATAATAAACTGTAAGAACTGCCCAAAACACTAGGTCAGACAAACTGGAAGAAAACTGTCAACAAGAATTGGTGAGCATCAATCAGCGGCCACGACGCATGACCCACTTTTGTTGATTTTCTATCACGAAGATAAAGAAATACATCAATTTGTCTTTGAATCAGCGAAAATCATCATTTTTTGACCAAGTCAGGTCAAAAAATGCCAGAGACTTTCTCGAGGCTTGGCACTATTCAGTCAACTCAATAAGCGGACATATCGAACTGGATCACGTGTACACGCCAATGCAATTCAAGGATCAAATGAAGAAACAAAGGTCACGAAGTGACCTGGGAAGGACTAAACCCTCAATCAACACGGTAAAACAATCCCGTATCCTCACACCAGTTCAAATGCGAACACAGTAGGAACAAGGGACAAACAATGGTCGGTGGAGAAGAGCACAAACAGAAATGAACAGACGCAAGCAGAACACCGCCAGCTCACAAGCACTGACGATGCCCCATTGGCTGACGTTTGCAAACGAAGTGCAAGCTCGGCGAACAGGCGAAACGGAACAATAACTCATATTACTAGGAGGCATTAGCGCCCGTCCACGCCCACGGGGGAGAGTCGACTAAACTTTCACTTATTTCCATCCTCAACCAGTGCTGCCCCATCATCAATTCTATCTAGCTACACCATTGATTGGGTTATGCGTCGTGCTCTAACCAGTTTTCGAGGAATTCAAATCCGTCACGAAACCCGGATAACTGACCTGGAATTAACCGAGGACATTATCATCTTAGATGATCCTGACAGTCTAAAGCCGATACTTGACGGTATTGAATGTGAATCCAAGGTCGTCGGTCTGGAGATAGACAGCTCGAAAACTAGGATCTTCACAAATTCCTCAGAACCGTCGCGGTCCCTCCAAGTCAAAGGGGGAACCGTAGAGCAGGTTCGCCACTTCAAACGGCCAAGTCAGAGATGTATTCAAGCTTTGACAATGCAAGGCGGACAATAATACAATCGAGCCGTCCGCATGCATGCTTGCGAAACGTGATACTAAGGGCGCATGACACCCAAAACTGGAAAGTTTCACCGACTGGTCCCTCTTATATATGGCTAAAATCAAGTAATATGGACCGCGTTTCAAACTCCACCGTCCGCTGGCGTTGGAACATAGGAAGTAATCCTTGTTTCACCAACGACGCCGTCTTTATTTGTTAGGTCATATCCCCTGATGGTTACAAGCTGAACTCACGAGAAAAACTGTTTCGTCCGCCTCTAGTCCTGACTGGAAATATCGGTTCGGAGGCCAGATGAAGAAGTGGGTTAGTACAATTAAATAGGATTTAGATAGTCTAGGTATTCAGTTGCTTTTCGGACCGCACAACGGGATTTCTCGACGCGCGGACCTTGCCGAGGATGGCACCTCATCGATAGCTGCAATCAGAAACATCAAAGAAGCCGAAGTAAGCGCACACATAAAAGTTAGTAACCCGTAACTTAACTTAGCTAGATGCTCGTCACCTATCACCCCTTCGTTAACTGGGATATTAGCTTTTCAACCTCTCATTTTAATGAAAACAGGTACACTTCAGGCAAACAATATACTTCCCCAGTAGATGCTTTAGACCGCGAATTTCATGGGTAATAAGTGTGGTTTTCGAAGGGCGCTGATTCTGCACACGCGTTAAAATTTAACATTATAAAGCAATCCTGGACTAGAAAGAATTTTTTTACCTCCTCCGAATGCTCTCGGGGTCTCAGCGATACTGGAAGAAAACATACTACGAAAGCGAACGGCTCAATCAGTCTACTGGTCTGATGTACAGCGACCTTTGTTAACAAGCTTACTGTAAGGCACAAGTCTCCGGTGAACCTATAGAAAACCATCTAAATGGCCTACAATTCAAAGCCTAATAACTAGAGTTTTGGAGGACAAAAAGGTTCTGTTTAGTTTTCACAGTTGTTTTCTACTTTTTCCAGTGAAATATGTGAATGAAAATAATCGAGGAGAAAGTGCTCGTGACTGCAGTTATGACGACATCTTTTCAGCAGTTGCATCAGAAATATGCTGTTGGACTGCTCTGTCCCCTAGATCGCCAACAAAGTTAGAATTCTAGTGGCAATTTAGGCAAAAATTCCTGCCTAATAAAATGACCAAAGTAAGGCCGTTTAGGGATCTTATAGATTAGTTGGTTTACCCATAGATAGATCCAGATAATAAATTCACTGATAACAATGACCAAGACAAGCGAAATAATCTGAAAATAAGTAAGCACAAATCAAAATGAACTAAATCCTGAGTAATCATACATAAATTCCGAGAGCCAGACTGAACGAAAATGAGTAAATACAGCTACAGCATTTAGCGTGACAATATAAAAAAAAACAGAGAAGGAACTCTTTGACAAATGTCACGTGTATATCGACAACTGCGACCGGTCAACTCGACAAGAGACACACAAAGCGCGGCTGCCACTGATATTTGACCCACAAGAGGCTTGAAAAACATAACGCAGTGTCATTGTATCTGACCTTAGGCAAACGAGACGCTAGTAGGCAAGAGAACAGCTACAGAAACATTTGTTGATCCCACTTGAGCCGGTAGCGAAACGGAATAAGGATGAACAAATATGCTCATCCCGACCCTCACCACTTACATTATGCGCAGAAATCGGACCTGGACTCCGCATAACCCCGGGCTCAACTCGGTTGACTTGCGTGGGTCACAGAAGGACATTTCAACGAGCAAATAATTCACAACGGACTATCTGGTTACTGAATCTAATCTCCTTTGGTAGAAGTATAAAGCTTTATGTTAGAAAAGGCTACAACAATAAATCTCGTACAATGGTTGTACCCAGAGTGGCAGTATTACACGTCTGGATGCTTACGAACGTAACAGCAACCATATCGCTTTTTACATTACTCATATGCGAAATTCCCGAGCAGAGTAAGAACGCGATATTGTTTGATGAGCACTACTGCTCACCACGATATGCAGGATAAGATTTTCAGAAGTATTAAGAAAAATGCCCATGAGCGAAAAGACAAAAGCATGACATGGAAACCCTACTAAAACCCTAATAGTCAGATTCACTCACAAGCGAATGTGACCAACCGTTGCGCTTGCTGCGTGAACCCCGAAGGGCAAGAAAAAATCAGTATTCTGTGTTACTAAATTTCAAAATTCACCGGCTCAACTGGGTATGGAGGGGTATTAAACAACTTGGACGTTTGCCCCCGTTCAAAGGGAGTATGATCCGATTAACTGGACACCGGCCCCTAATGGATGGCGGTTTTCGCACACCGTTCCGCTGCCTTGCGGGTCAGGCTTTGGTTAGTCGAGGGCTATGGTTATGAATTCCCCCAGAAAAATCACCTGCTTTGACCCAGGCAACCTGACAGTATCATGCCCACGAGCAGATCAAAGAACTTTTTCTTCTTTTTATAAAGATCATTCTATTGTGATTTGTTTGGCACGTAGAACTCAGACGTGTCTGGACAAAACCGAGGGATTAGGTGAACCGCTTCTCTGTCAGAGCTTGTATTACACCTAAAAAGAACGTTCTGATCATCTGGTTCCACTGTAGATGCAGAGGTGACCTAAAAGGGATCTGTCTATAAGTTCAAAAAGAAGAAGAGTGACGGCGAGGATAAACGTAACTTCTATGCTTCAAAACCATATACAATTGGAAATTTTGAAAATCAGACAGGGTCACCCCCACCCCCGAAAAAAATGACATCCGAAAGTCAGTTCATAAATACAGCCCACAGTGCATCAAAAAAATATGTTGTGGGCACTGAGTGAGAAATAAAGATTAGTGGAATTCAATGAAAAACGAATGAGGCAAAACATGGAGATCACAGAGCCATTGACACGGTGGATCAATGAATGATGAACAAAAAGACAGAGAGATAGACAGACAGAAAGCGAGTGGGCTTCACAGACGACTGATATGTGCAAGGCTTACCGTTCGGAACAACCGATCGTGAGGTACAGAAAGAAAGAGACATCAAGCACTGTTTCTTACTGACGGTGATGAACGGAGGCAAACAAAATATGAAGAGAAACAAATTCATGGTGCTGCGGAGATCATAATCACATTTGAGGAACGTGTACGGACTAAGTCCGGCATTGGTATACAGTAGACCGATTTTGACGGTGATGGTGCACTAGCCACGACAGCGTCGAACAGTTCATTGCAGTGCTTTTGAACAGATCCCTGATCCGGACAGTCGCGATTTGGGCGACGGGGTTCGAGGCCGCGCGCGAAAATGTGAAGAAGTTGTCGATGAACGCTGAGGAAGAAAAAACGTATATTGACGATTTGGATTGAGTGACAGGAGCAAAACAGTCAAGCATGGAAGCGAAACTCTGTGGAGTGATGCAAAAAACAGTGCACACTAACGCTACATGAGAAATGCAGGGAGTACAGAAGACATACAAGACAGTGGGGCCGATGAGACGCAATTTAGCGATCAAAACAGTGATAGCTATTACATAACGAGCAAAGTCCTAGCCATTCGGTATGTAAAAAAGTATTTTTTGTCCAACGAAAAATGTCAATTAATGACAAAATACCAAAGTTCAGAATCGTAGTCGCGAAGTTAATAGGCAGTGTGCAACAAAATCCCAAAAATAATTGGAGTGCGAATTCATGACGAGCCTTGCAGATTCCAATATTCATATTACAATGAAAATGTTGCTTGACGCTAACGAGCGCGCAGTGCAATGGAGAACAATTCATATAGTTCTAGAATGATGACGCACATTTCTAACTCCTACGAAACGTAATCTAACAGATGATTCATTGAGTTATGACAACTATGTTTTCTACTATGGCAAAGAAAAGATAATTTTTTCAAACAGCACGCACGTGCGAGGTAAACGTAGAAACTTTACAGTGCTATTCCATCCACCTTTCACAGCAACAGACCAAAACGATCGTTAGAGCCATATTTCCACATTCGATGGATAAGTGGACAGATCAGCCAGAAAAAAGTGAATGGACAGACTGGATCTACATAAATCACTTACAATGAAAGAAAAACAAAATTATTCGTTAATCCCGGATGAGGCAAGTGGAGTTTGACAAGAACTAAACTTGAGAATGTTCAACCATATTCGTGAGAATAGCTACTCACTGCACCGAGATATTTTCATGATGCAACAGTTCCCCATCTGCGCACCAAATGGATCGTTTCGACTGGCCCGACCCAGAGGAGGATTTATTTTTCGGTTTCTCATCAACCGTTTGAGACCATGGAGAAATTGCTTCCCTCGAGTCTTCGTCACAAGGAGCTCTGGAATCATCGAAGACAGGCATTTCCGTATCTGAAGCTGGAGAGTTCCGAAACTTGAAAGCGGAAACACGTTCCACGGTAACGAAGGGTAATTCGAACGGACTCTGACTACTGTTGTTCATATCCACGGACACATTCGCGGTCCGAACAAGGAACTGAAGGAACTTTGCCCGAGAGCATTCGCGTATTAGAATGAGATCGATACAGCCGTCGCCCAGATGAGCCCAAGGAGACGGACCACTTGCAGCTCGAGAACAACGACAGCTTATGAGAAATGCATTGACAGCTACAAAAGTACCACGGATTGTTTTCCAACCCTTAGGGCAACCTTGTAGGGACCAAGATGGTTGATCAGAGGGCTCGGGTTTGGATAAATCCATGGCAGATGCGCAAACGATCTTAATTTGTCCTGATTCGTTCAATTTTTTGGAGCTGGATGGAATGTCAACTGACCACCCTACAAGTAGGCGGATATAGGGAAAAAGGGTTAGATAATAAATAATTGAAAGAGGATGAGTAGTTCTATCAAGTTGGTATTTTACAGAATTCAGGTGTTCAGTTTATCTAACTTTACTCTTGCTATATCAAACTGATTCGTGCAAAATAAAACACCGGCGTTGATCCAGTTGGGTAGATCTGAATTGTTAATTACTAAAGACTGAAAATCTCAAGAGTCTTTCTATCGACTGGGAATATACTACTTTCAGAGCACAGTAACCTACCTCCTTCGAACGACCGGCTTTTGATTTGGTCGTTTAACGTCGGAACTTGCAATGTATTAGGAACATGATCTGTAGAGGGATAAGCTCCCGAGAATTCCGTAACCTGCGTGGACTTGTCCGAATCGGCTAAGGGCAGATCAACAGGGAAGCAGGTGCTTGGCAGGGATATCGTNCGTTCGGGCTCTCTCTCGTGCCTGTTTCACGCGAGTACGTCGATCTATGGAAATGTTTAGGAAACCGCGTTCCGATGTTTCAACGGGCAATTCTAATTTGAATGAAGCAGGTCGAGTGAGTGAGCAAACGGAGCAGCTGATTAGATAAAAGGTGAGAAAAGAAGTTTCGTACAGAAATTTTCGCATATGTCTCATCATAGAGAGTGGAGACAAGATTAACAAAAAGTGTGCCGACTGAAAGGAACAGTGACGAATTTAGCAGCCTCGTAAAAAGAGCCAATAAATTCATTAAACGAGTCGGTGAATAAAAAATTATCTCTCAATATGATTAGAGGATTTGGTCAGCTGCTAAAGTAAGCAGTTACCCACGTGCCAGTTGCCGAAGAGGAATCGCCAATGAACGTATCTTTGGAAGCATTAGGATAAGAGGGATTAAGTGTTTATCGAAACATGTGTAAAGGAATTGTGTTCATCTCGGGTCCGTTCCTCTTAAAAGTACCCCAGAATGAAGTGGGTAAAGTTTGCAAGTTAGCATGGATTAATACACGTAATTTACGTCCCAAGAACAGGTAACCAAGAGGGGCAAACAAGACGTGACGCAATTCAATCAAACGAGATTTCAATCTCGAAAACCAGTGAACGAAAACAAAAATCAAAAGTAGGATAACACTTTTCCCAAACTGAATTCTCGTGTTCGGAATTCAAACCATAGCCTGGCAGAAGGATTTACGTGGCTGATAGAGCCGTCCAGTGCTACCTCTCGGAATTTCAGTTCCGGTTTTCGTTTATCCAAAATTATTCCATAATCCGATTACGTACTTGTAACGAATCAAACGATTCCACGCCAGTTTGGATATTACAGTTTTTGCCGAAAATTATGAAGCACAAATAAGGTTAACTGTCGAGCAAGAAAAATGCGCGAATGATTGACTTGCTGCTCCATCCACCCCAGTCGGTAAGTATCACTGGTCAATTTGAGCATACGCAGGTTGAATTTTGCTCATACCCAAAGCAACCTTAAGTACGCGTTACTGCCTCACATGACTTCCCATGGCCATTCTCCTATCAGATTGAAATTCATTTTGGTTACCTCTAGCCAATACTGTTCTGGCATACTGTTTCAGTTCAAAAAAGCTCGTCAACATTATACCCAAGCTCTACATTCAAACGTATTTGCTAACGAGGGTTGAGATGTATCCGAAGAATAGCGATTCGATTTTATGCACTGTAACATATGTGAAGACACTATTAACTAGGCATGCTAGTCAAATTTATCCAACGAAAAACTAGAAATAGTTTATTTTTTTCTTGTAAGCTAACTATCGAAGTGGAGAAATTTACAAGCAATGATTTCTCCTCGGGAAAGTAACAGAACTGGGGCAACCGCACAGAGATCGTACACTATCACTACACGGTAGATTTACTCAAATCATAGCGACGATGAAGAGTAGTGCAGATGATCCACTTTAAACAGAAAACAAGGTTTTCGTAGAAAATCAAACGGCTCAAAAGTAACTCTACTGGAATGAATGAGTTTACATGCAACGGTTTGGGAGATATTTATTAATGGTGGTTCTGATAATGTATGGGAAACATTCTCATGAAACATCTGTCTTCCATAAATACACATGATTAACCGTCCCACGAACGAACAAAATGGACTGTTATCAATGCATAGACATGCACATATTAACCACACACGCTCATTCTTGATAAACTTATCGCATTTCACATGGGTGTAGCGAGGTGAAGATGATGACCTAAACATCATAATGAGACGCAAGCCACAACAATCTAACAAATCTTAGCACATGATGACAACCATTTAAACTGACGACATGACGGCAGCAGTCCGAAGCGCCTGGCACAAAAGATCCTTGAGATCGGCATTCGTTTTCAAATAAAGAAACGGAAGGGAATCCGAAAGTATTGCACGATGACAGTGCTATTAGGAAGAAGGAACGGTGATATTTTGATCGAAGCCCTTCAATTTAAACAGTGCTCCGTCTCCAACGTGATACAACCTAATGCTACTATTGAAGGAAAAAAGGAAATCTTATTGCCGCATTGACTGGAGCCGACAAAGCGATTATGTGAATTCAAAATACCTGCTCACTGTGCTAACGTGTGTCTATTTAAATGCATGAAGCACACCGGAACAGCTTACGTAGTGTACGCATTCAAATCACTGTGTGTGTGATAGTCGATAAACGAATCGTGGAATAACGGTAAACAAATGCCCGACACCCGGATAAGCTGATTTCGGGCAAACACCTCAGCTGAGCACGAAATTTGGATAGCACTTGAAAAAGCAAGGAGACAGGATAGTTCAAGTTTCCAAATATCCAGTACTTCGAAAGGACTGTCATCGTAAAGAATGACCGAAATACAATGGTTTATTTAATACGGGGAATCATTTTGTCAAGCCGTTGCAGATATCTGTTAGCATAAGTGAGTTAAACATAGGTTCAGTCAAGTAATTAAACAACAACCGTTGAGTGAAATTAAAAGTATAATATTAAAATTATCACAGACTCAAATATTGCGATTAAAAAGGTCTCCTCTGATTTTTCTCCACAGTGACCAAAATGTGTCGAATGAAACAATGATGTACTCTAGCAAGCCGACAAAAGTGGTAACAGAACACAGTTAGTGTTTATTTCCGGTTGGTAAAGTTCGGTACACCATAGATATCGCAATCCTACATCAAGTGCACACTTCCTCAAACAATACCAATAATGCGAAATCGATATCCAGTGCATTGGATTATTTTACCTAATAGTGATTCGCTTGGACTCAAACCCCCATTCTAGTTATAGGATGAATAATCTGATATCATCCGCTTGGTTTACCGGCAGCATCTCATATACATGAATGAAGCTACGAATCACCATAATTGGAGAAATCCAACTATTTCCACAGGGTTTATAGCGCCTAACAAGAAGTTACTGGAGCGTGGCTGGTGTTATATATCCAGACCAGTCTTTGGTAATAAACGTGACAGTGGGGTGCCTGGTGTGAATCAGGAACTGTTTCGGAGGAACGACAGGTTCCATAACCGTTCTGATCGATTTAGAATAACAAAATAGTAACGCGATGTTTCTTATTAGGTTCACACGCATGACTCAATGAATTAAGGGTTAAAACCTTTGGTGCTTACAAATATATGATCATGTAGCTACAAGCTTGAAAGAGAGTCCGTTAAACACTGATGTCGCAACAATTAGTGAATGAATAAACTCGTCAAGGTTGAGTTGGTCATTAGACGAGGAAAACAGCCTTTCATGAGTCGATTTCAGGTTTATAAGCAAGAATAGCAAGGCTGGAGAAAAATATTTCATGAATAAAATAATACTTTTGATTAAAAGTACAACAGTGCACGGGGTTTTTCAAATGAAATTGTATTCAACTCACCCATGGGAACAAATAACGCCATCTCGAACATGACTTTTGTAATTTGCACTTGGGAGATAAGACAATTCTCCTTCGTATACAGAGTGTTGGAGAAAAGTGGAGAAACCTGGGAAAATGGGACAGACAACCATTTCTTAAAATATCCTCAGGATGATCCCAGCACGTTGGGCCCTGAGCACAGTTAAATTAGGACAAACAGGTAATGTATTTGATGGGACGGGAATTCAACCAAAAAATCATAGTTTGTCAACAACTCATGCAATTATTCATAAAAACCAAAACAAATCGATTAGTTTCACTACAATGAGTGGATTTAATGAATTTAAACTGCAAGCACAGCAGCATAAGATATATTTTTCGACGACTGACAACAGCTAAATTATGCGCTCCAGCTTTGTTCTGAATGGGATGGAATAATGACAGTATCAGTGTGAGGTGAAGCAGTCTCCATTGCTACAAAGATAATGTAGCCAACTTTATTGAAATAGAGAAATTCAACCACAGAATTAATCCAACAAGTCAATACAATCCTAGGACATGGGATTCGAGCACCAACGGCAGATAAGGTGAAACAGCTTGAAATCGCCTGATACTTCATACTGGAATATGAAAAACCATAGATTCATACTACGTAAGACTAGCAGTTTTTTATCAATTCAACGTGAGAACATTATGAATGTGCATTTTTCTGTGGGAAAAAGAGGGTACAGGAAATAAACGGAAAAACTTATTTATCTGCATGATCATTGATTTTCAATACATGGGATTAACTGCATATCAATTGCAGTGTTCTGGAAAATTCAAAAGACCAAAACATAAACTTCTGTAATAACGACATTCGGCCGAGGTAATTCTTATCACTGTTGCTGACGTCTTCACGACAATACATTTTATTATTTCCAACAACGAAACAAACCGTTCACATGGCATACCGCTCCTGGGGTACGTTTACCACTTGAGAGCATTACATACCTATGGCTGGAATGAAACAATCTGCGAAATTCATTGATTCAAGATATAGCGCAAGTTTCAGTTGGTAAAACCGTTAAACATGAAATGTCGTGTGCCGCT